CAGCTTATTGTAGAATACTACCTACACTGGACCACCACATTTGAGATATCTTTTTCAGGTAGTTCAGACACAAACCACGACAGCTTATTGTAGAATACTACCTACACTGGACCACCACATTTGAGATATCTTTTTTCAGGTAGTTCAGACACAAACCTCGACAGCTTATTGTAGAATACTACCTACACTGGACCACCACATTTGAGATATCTTTTCAGGTAGTTCAGACACAAACCTCGACAGCTTATTGTAGAATACTACCTACACTGGACCACCACATTTGAGATATCTTTTTCAGGTAGTTCAGACACAAACCACGACAGCTTATTGTAGAATACTACCTACACTGGACCACCACGTTTGAGATATCTTTTTCAGGTAGTTCAGACACAAACCATGACAGCTTATTGTAGAATACTACCTACACTGGACCACCACGTTTGAGATATCTTTTTCAGGTAGTTCAGACACAAACCACGACAGCTTATTGTAGAATACTACCTACACTGGAACTCCACATTTGAGATATCTCTTTCAAGTAGTTCAGACACAAACCACAACAGCTTATTGTAGAATACTACAATCTTGACATGTAATAATGTTACTACCAGTACCTCGTCTTGATCTCTTCTGTGTGGGTCGTCTTGCCTCAGGATAACTTGTATCTGAACAAACAATAGTTTGTGTGATAATTTGTCGGTGTATTTATATGTCACTGATATTGCTTTCTGTCTCACTATTTAAATTAATAAAGAATTATTGCATTGGGGCAATCATTCTAATAAATTCTGATCCCTCTACACAAGCATATAATACACCGGTTATCACAATCAGGACAAGGCAACCTCAGTTTGTTCACTTTCAGGATAATAACATAAATGTTCTTTGTTCACCACACTCACTTGTGACATATTTATATCACCCAGTATGGAAAGTTTGTATTGGATGGCCAAGATATCGGGCACGTAATTTTGATGCTTTCTATATATTTACTATTAAATTTTCAAAATCTCACACATGCAATTTCCAATCTTTCCAGCCAGGGATATCCCTCTGACTGGAATGTTTGGAAATTGCACACTGAAGATTTTGAAAATTTTAATAGTGAATAATATAGAAATCTGATAGAAAGCATCAAAATTGCGCGCCGGAAATACAAACTTTCCACACTGGGATATCGCCCCTCATCCTGGGAGGAAAGCACCAACAAGTTGCCACAGGAGAACTGCCACAATAACTGACGTTTATTAGGGGCTCGGGCTAAAGTGGCCTACTTTCCAGTGTGACCCCTCAATCCTCATACATATATAATAGATTTTGGTAGCACATACATCAAGAAAGTGTCTATATAATATGGCATTACAGAACTATCAAGAGAATATCTGAGACGACTTTGGTAGTTTACATTTGTGATACGTGGAAACATGCTGACAACGAATTGCACAGACGACAATAGTTCATTGTATACTTTGACACACTATATAACACCAGTCGCAAATATAATACTAAAACAGACCACAAATTTGCTTCGAAAATAGCACAAAAATATTAATTTGCAACAAAAGAATGATATAACTTACCGCTCATATACTGAGGAGGATGATCCATATTATTTTAAAAAGAAAAGACGCAAAATTTCGATTCAAAATATTTCAAAACTTTTTGAGAAAAATAGAAGTTATTGTATACCACGCATGCGCATTCACAACAGACGTGGCAGACCGAAGTTAGTACTTCATGTTATTTAGATGTTTGGAATGATTCACAAAATGGACCGTTTCTCAAGCTTGGTCGCCATTTTGAAATTGCAAAGTATCATGGTTATCAGAGAATAATAAACCATATGTTGCTTTCCATTAACTCTAGGCGAACATTAAGTTAAACTGTTGTTTTTAGACGTTTTAATTGTATACATGTTTGTGTTATATCTTTTGGGGCCACAGTAATTGGCTTTTCAGGCCGTCGTGGTTACCCAGCCATCACTTTAGTGTGTGTGTATGTGGTGCGTATGTGTTTGTGCGTATGTGTTTATGTCTAGTATCAGTGTATCACACAATGATGGAAAAGCAATTAAATTAAATGAAATTAAACTATTAAAACGGACGTCATTGATGTGCCAAACAAATTAATTATATATAAAGCAGTCTTTATTTATGGCGGAGGTCAGCACTGAAGGGAAAAGGGTTGGGTAAACAAAATTCTGAGTGTGTAAAAGATTGGACAAGTGGGAAACAAAACAACTCAAGGGTTGGGTAGTAAAAATTTATTGTCATATTTCCACATTTCCATTTCGCTCAAATATTGAAGACTAAAAACTGACAATTTGATGTCAATACCGATATGTAAATCAATCAGGATTCAGGGTCACAGTATTTTGATAATTTTCCAATTTGTCAGTAAGCAAATGGTGTCTCCAAAGAAAGTACACGTGTAGACAACATGAAACTTTAGACTGCAGAAAATTGCACAAGTAGTTATCAAACTCATGTCACAGAAGTGGTAAAGGACATGTGTGATAACTGGGCGGTGTCCTTTTGTACGTCCCCCCCCCGGTTGCTATTTATTTTTTAATTGATATTTGAGGTTGGGTAATTTTTTTGATTTTTTAATGGTTGGATCCATGGGCGTACCGGAAGGAAAAATTTAGGGGGGCGGAAAGAAAATTGCCCGACTTTTCGGGATTGTGCCCGACTAGTACCGAAAATTTTTTTCCCGAAAAATTATTTTGGGGACCTCCTCCCCCCCGTCGCTAAAAAAAATTTCGGTCAGTGTACCATTTTAGGGGTCAAAAAAATTTTCCGGACAACCACAATTATTCGGAACATAAGACAAATTTTCAAAAAAACACAAAATTGCCCACAAAATTTACTTAATTTTAGACAAAATTTACAGAATTTGTCCCATTTTTTTATTGCAAACCAAAATTGCCCGACTGTTGATCGAATATTTGCCCGACTTCCCAACAAACTGGGGGGCCATAAATAATGACCGGCGCCCAAGTGAATTTGACAACCTGCTGTCACACGTGGTTCGGGTCCGGTACAGACAAAGCGCCAACCAGTAATCAATTCATTTGTAAGTTTGTAACGCAAGGTAAACGAGCAAGCTATTTGATATTTTTTACAAAATTGCGTCGATTGGAATTTGTGTAAAATCGATGAATATGGAAAGCTTCGGTGACATTTTGGAACAGTGCTCTGTTTTGACGACTTTTTAAACTGACGCAATTGTCATTTACAAGCTATTGGAGTTTGCTACTGCAATTTACGTGAAAATGATGAGAAAAATGAAGCGTCGAGTCACTCTCTATACAATTCTCGTAATATTCACGTTGGTAATTTTATTACATGTTTTTATAACGTGTCGTTTGCTTTCAAATGGGAACGCGCTATCAACTGGGGTCCATTTCGTATTCTGGACTTTGTCCAATATACACAATATGGTACAAACGTCCGAGGGGAGAAATGGCACTACGAGTAAAGACCAGCAGTCATCAAGGGTACAAGCTTCCGAGGGGAGAAGTGGTACTACGAGAAACGGCCCTGTAATTATATACTGGACAAAAGTATTTGAAAGGCAAGTTAAGGCCGGGGATAAATACACATGGCCGTATTTCTATACCGGCGATTTGTGCCCGGTGAAATGTACCCTAACTACGGATCACTCCATGATCGACGAAGCATCGGCAATTGTAATCCACGCCAGAAATATCGACGAAATGCCGCCGCAGGATAAAATACGGCGTAAAAATATTCGTTGGATTCTGCACTCAAACGAGAGTCCCAAATTCACGTCTGTGCTAAGTAGCGCAAAAATTATGGCAAAATTTAACTTCTATTTGAGTTATCGCCTTGATTCGGATTTTACGTTGTCATTGTTCCCTAAGCCATTGCTTGAACCGCTTCCGGTGCCTTTTAAGAAGAAGCGACAGACCTTAGCAGCAGCTTTATATAGCCACTGCGAGGCCGTTCGAACTGAATACTTGATAGAACTTATGCAGGAAATAGAAATTGACTCGTACGGTAGCTGTTTACACAACACTGACCGACCAGAATATCTCGCGCCACGCGACAATCAACGCTTCTCAAAGTTATCCAACCCTTTAATAAACCTTTACAGAACCTACAAATTCACGATAGTTTTCATGAATTCAGACTGTGATTATTTCGTCGACGAGAAACTGTTTTATGCCCTAAGCGCTGGAAGTGTACCGGTCTTTATGGGCACTGCTAAAATTCGTGAATTTTTACCGGGCAATTTGAGGGACTCTATCATAGAAGTTCGCAATTTTAAAACGCCAAAAGCCCTGGCTGCTTATCTGACAAGACTAGCTACAGATGAAAAGGCTTATAACAAGTTTTTAAAGTGGAAATATCAGGGATTTAAGTTTCCCGAAAGTTACGCGAATTCAAGCATTGGCCAGGTGTGGGATAATAGACTACCCATGTTTTGTCGGATTTGTCAGCGTCTCGCGTCTGGGGATCTGGGACGGACTGGACTTCCGGTTGAAACTTGTGAACGAAAGAATTTCAGTGATTGGGTTGAACATTAATGGATAGAAGTAGGATAATAATGGATAACGGTAGGATAATAATGGATAATGGTAGGATAACAATGGATAATGGTAGGATAACACCGGATAGTAGTAGGATAATAATGGACAGTGGTAGGATAATAATGGACAGTTGTAGGATAATAATGGATATGGGTAGAACAAGTAAGGGTTACATCATTAATAGAGGGCGATCATTAAAGATAGGGTAGGATATCTATTGATTAGAGCAGAGCATATATAGTAAGGATAAAAAGACATCTATGGTTAGAAATTGACCAGCGTGCAGAACACCTGGTCCGCCTATCATGCAGGCCAGAAATTGACCAGCTCAAGTCAATGTGAAAAACTCTTTGTTACAAAGTTACTTGACGTCCATAGTACATCTATCGGCTCAGCCAGTGCGTCACTTCTTACTGAAATATATCAATATATGAATATATACATAGATATATGGCATATAAATATCCTAAAACATAATCAGCATTATAACAATAACGATAATAAGTCTGACAACGAAAAATAATGTTTCCTCGTTTGTCCACCCTTTCCGAAACATGGCTAGGAAACAATGTTTCCTGGTTTGTCCACCTTCGGGAAACATGGCTAGGAAACAATGTTTCCTGGTTTGCGCCTTTGCCCACCTTTGAGAAACATGGCTAGGAAACAATTTTTCCTTGTTTGTCCTCCTTCAGGAAACATTGTTTACTCAGGAAACATTGTTTACTCAGGAAACATTGTTTACTCAGGAAACATGGTTAGTAAACAATGTTTCCTGGTTTATCCACCTTCGGGAAACATGGCAAGGAAACAATCTCCTGGTTTGTTCACCTTCAGGAAACATGGGTTTCCTGGTTTGTCCACCTTTGGAAAACATGGCTGCTTTGCTCAGCTCTGAGAAACATGGCTAGGAAACAATTCTTCCTTGTTTGACCTCCTTCAGGAAACATGGCTATAACATTTGAAGCCTTGCTGTATTAAGTGTATCACAGACTTAATATCATTATTGTTATATGCTGCTGTTCAACCGACCGCATTACGTCATACTTATTTTATGATACTAGCCCTAGTCCTCTCTATAGCATGGTCAGGAAGAACCAAGGCGCGGTCGCTTTGCTGGTGACGTTGTGGCGTTCGTGTCGTCATCCTCATCGTCTTCGTCATCTGGGTAATCAACCAATCCGACCATCTGAAATAGAACACGTGATATACTACATGGTTCAACTAGTGGGCTCTATATATATATATCTGGAGCAGGAACTTCAGTCATTCGGTCTATGAGAAACGTGAAGGCAAGATGGCAGCCATTGACCTCCTAATGAAGGTCTTTGTTCAAGTTCTTGTTCTGAAATAAAACTGGATAGCGCATCTGCTGTGTATAAGTGAAGCCAATGGCGGCCATATTGGATGGCCCCACCATTAAGCTAATCTAGAGTTGTGGACATGTTTAACTCTTCCTTTACGTTTCTAGTCACTAGTGGAAAAAGACAAATATTGCCTAGATAAGAATTTATCAACAGTAGCCTCTCTTTTTTCCAAAACTAGCCGGTGAATAACTAATGGGGGCCATCAAATATGGCCGCCATAAGCCTCATTTTGTTGTGGTGTACAGTATAAAACGTTCTAAAACTACTTCGAAGACGTTTTGGAAGCTATATTTTACAAGCTTTATAGATAAAATGATACTTGCTTTATACTTTTAAAGATACTTGCTGTATAGTCTGACTGAACTTAAATAGCAAACGATTAGACTGGTCATGAATTTGACTGATTTATAAATCTCATTTCATTAAAATATTCTGGCTTTAAAATCGGGTTACTGAATTCAATATGATGCTTTAAAGGTCCAGTCCTTATTTCAGGTCAAGGTTCTGAATTCAATATGATGCTTTGTCCAGTCCTTGGTTCAGATATATACGAAGCTCATTGAATTGGCCTTTCTCATGCCGACATTTTTGGGGTACTGCCTTCTCCAAATCTGAGATTGTACGCAATGAATAAGGGATTTGTAAAACTATAATTGTGAGTATCATCATTATAAGTTAATTTACAGTTAAATATTTGAAAAAATGTTTTCACATCGCTTACTAGATTTTTCACGTCGTTTTAAAAAAAGTACCCCAAAAATAGCGAATTTAGCCTTCGTGAGAAACGCTAATTGACCTTTCCCCTTTTGAGTGAAATTTTGATCTAGACAAGTCTGGACAAAAATTTCATCACAGATTGAAAGAGCATCACAAAATTAGTAATATACCGAAGTTTCGTTGCGAAATGTTGTAAAATGCGGATAATATAGCCTTGCGAAGTTTGCCGTTTTTCAGTCATTTTGTATTACAAACGGGAAATTGATAATCAGATGATCAAACTGATTATCAATTTCCCGTGCGTAATACAAAATGACTGAAAAA